CCGTAGCCCTGCCAATCAGTGGGCTGGCTGACCAGAAACACTGCCATTGTTGCCTCCTCTTTGTCTGCTGCCTCCACTGGGAACGCTGGAGCCTTCGCTGCTGAGCAGCTGATTGGCAGTTGGATCAGCTTCCTAGGCAGCGGGGATTGCTGCTGCCTAGCGCCACCAATCACTGCTGATTGGTGGTGGCCATAGGCGGCAGCAGTGAACGGCTGATCAGTGGTATTCGGGAGGTAATCCAACCACCAATCAGCTGCTCAGCAGCGAAGGCTCCAGCGTTCCCAGTGGAGGCAGCAGACAAAGAGGAGGCAACAATGGCAGTGTTTCTGGTCAGCCAGCCCACTGATTGGCAGGGCTACGGGAGGCCGGGATCCAATTGTTGCTCAGCTGACTGGTGGTGGGTCAACTAAGCAGAGCCCTGATGAGCCATGTGCTGGGGCTGCAATAACGTGCTAAAACTGACCAGGCTTTGCTGTTTGCTGCAAGGATGCTAGCCAGATAAATACTGGATGGATGCTGCGAGGCAGAGGCAGTTTTTTTTCTTCTTTTTCTTTTTTTTCTCTTCTAAAGCTAATGTGTGTCTTATTGTCCAGAGCGTCTTATAGACCGAAAAATACAGCAATCTTTAAAGTAGAGTAACATACTTTATCAGAGACATGAATAGAGACAAATTTAAATTTTACCATTTTTTTTCTGGAATTGGACGAGGAACAGCATTTACTCGGCAAGGAAAGTTTGGCTGACCAGAAAGATTTCGTCCAAGTATTGTTCCAACAAGATTTAAAGGAAGAATAACAAAAAAGCAGATGCAACAAACAGCTACCTGTTAAATCAAATAAGAAGAGCTATAAAATATATTCATTAAAATAAAATCAACCATTATTCTACCATTGTTTTAGCAGCAATTAATCATAAGAAAAACATACTGTTATTCAAAATAGATAGGCTAAATGTTGCTTCAAGTTGATAGTAGCAACCTTCAAGCTTTGCTATGAGTTGGATGAACAGCAATGTCCTTCCTTTACATTCCCACTCACTCCACAAGAACCTCAGCTGCATTGGCAGCCTTCCTTTGGTAATCTCCGATTGGAGATTACCCCTAGTTGCTATGTGAATTTCAGTCCTCCACCTTTATCCAACAGATGGAATTTCTACTTCTTGGCAGATGTAGTTTCTGCAAATTAAAATACTCACCATTGTCCCAAAAGGAATAGCTCTTGATGCATGATAATAAATGGCAATAAAATTAATGAAGAAGGCTGTGCCACACACCATTGCAGGAATAAGGAATGCTCCAATGAACATTTGCTTTATCCATCTTCTTCCTGACAATTAAAACATTACATGCATTTGTGATTCAGGGTTACGATTTTGAACTTTAAAATTCAGCTTAACTGGAATTGTAACACTATATAGACTGGCAATGATAACGAGTTCTCAGTACCACTTTTCTCTTGTGGACCTAAAGCTACAACTCAATGTGATATTTTCCAAATCTTGCAAATAAATACAGTTTAAGGCCCTGAAACTTTTTATCTACCATTAGAAAACACATATTCTAAAGATTTTTATCATTTCTTCTAAAATTTTGACAATGCAGGTTTATAAATCATGAAACTTCCATTTTCTAAGATCTATTACTCTGTCTATGAAACTCTGGCAATGTTATAGCATGATTATAAAATTGATTTTAGTGAAGAAATTAATGTATATAATCTTCCTCTCTTGTTGAAATATTTCTCCTCTTGGAAACAGAATCAGAAGATAATTCTCCCAGGAACCAATTCCCATCTAGGGTGATACTGAAAATTCCAATCCCACAGAAAATTGGCTGCATGTGACTATCTTATTCTCATACAACAGGACTTTGCAAGCAAGAATGCCAGCAACAAGTTTCATCTATAGAAAGTAAGTTCATACTGATCATAGATCCAATCTAGGTTGGTGCCCGGGACTAGAGGCTTAAGTCTTCCGAGCTTTCGGACTCATGCTAGAGCCAATCCTCGGGGAACTTCTCTCTACCAGAATGTGTGCTTTGGGCTTTTCCATGCTTAGCATTTATTTGATGCCTTTTTGTGGCCCCCTAGCGGCTGATTGAGGTACTGATGGCTGGCTACTAAGTCCTTGGTTGTTGTTTCCTTGTCGTGTGAACTCCTTGACTCCTAAGTACCTGATAAGATGGCCCTGTTTCCCAAGCTTCAATCATTTCCCTGGCTATCTTGGTATCTGCTTGGCCAACAATCTCAGTAACTGTGAAATTGAACGTATGTCCTTGTTCACTGAAATGTGAGGCTACCATTGAGTTCAGGTTTCCTCATCTGACCACTCGCTTGTGTTCTTGCAGTCTGGTGGTTAGTTTCCTCCCCATCTGTCCTACGTAGTCACAGGGATAATCCATGTAGAGCAGTGGTTCCCAAACCTTTTCAGTCCACCGCCTCCTTGGTGCTACAAACTGATTCTCAGTGCCCCCCACACAGTGGTGGAATTCAATTTTTTTTCTACCGCTTCTGTGGGCGTGACTGGGGGGGGTCATGTGACTGGGCTGTTTGCACGATGGAAGGAAGATAGTAACAGTAACATTCAAAACTGTAACAATTAATTGCACATTTATTCAAACTCTAATTTAAAAACCTTT